AGCCTCTGTATCAGTTTGCATCCATTCCGTCCATTAAATTGACGATTATTTATATGAAACGTTTCACACACTAGTCGTCTGTTTTAAATTTATTTGTTAGATTTACTAAATATAAAATGAAACAAACATAAAAATTAAAATAAAACGAAGATAAAATAGATAAATGTTCAATTGCAAAATATACCCAATTAATTTCAGCTCCAAATCGTAGATAATTATTCCCGTAAAGTCGTTGACGTTGCAAGTCGTCAAGATGCCGATCTAGCAGAAGTTATTAGCAAGATTACCGCGAGATAGATCTCAAGAAATTAACTTAGCGGGTTTACCTGTGATAAAACTCTTGTAAGTTAAGAATTATGCTTAGTTAGTGATAAAATCAATGGGACAAGTTCGTGAAATCTACAGAAATAGAAGAAAGCAGAATTAGTACAATAGAGAGAAATACATGATGATAACAGAAAACGTTCATATTGGTATTACTAGATAAATTCATGTAAAAAGAGCTTGCCAAATGAGACATTAAAGTTAATAATAGAGTCAATGTAATCAAAATTATCGAATCTGTGAAGATGGAAGATGTTGAGATTCTATCATCCCCGGAATTAACGGATTCCAGAGAATTTAGGAGGATTTTAGAGGATTTAGAGCTAGGAATGAGAAGAAATTGATTTATCCGATTTACCACGGGTGGAGGTCGCCAGATTGAGAATCAAAATCAAGAATAAAATCAATATAAAAATCACTTTGCCGTATTGGCGGGAGTACAATTAGCACAAGACAGCGAATCGATTTGAATTTGTGGCAGCGGAGAAGAAAGTATTCACAATGGCGGCACCATCAGATTCAGCGAGAGCTGGATGAAGTAGAAATAAAAGATGTAGGAGTTTTACTAGCCGCGAAATTAAATCCGAAGAAGAGATCCGAACAGAGGAACGAGGATACAACATCCATGTTAGTTAGATCACACGATTAGATTCAGCGAACAAAAAGGAAATTGCGGAGTAAAAATTCGATGAAGTTGAATTTATTGTATTACTCGATGATGTTTTTAATAGATAGTAAATTCAACAAAATATTGAAATTTATAATTATTGCATTTGATAGTTAAAATAAAATGACAGATACAATGTTTCAATTGCACATAAAATACAATTTAGATACATTTTCGATCTAATAATGGAGTTTCAGAATAATCAAAATCGAAACGGATATTATAAGTTCTTCTTTTTTTCGAGCTGCATTAATTGTGCAATATATTCTCTACTAAAAACTCTTTGATTAAAGCCGTTATTATTCATTAACTACAAGTTACACTTCGCGTAATTTGATAAATCGGGAATAAATGTATTACAAGTAACGTAATTTCTTTATTATTCCAGTCTTTATCGTATTCCAATATAGCAATTAACAAACATTACAGACTTTCAAGATTTTTATTCTTATGTAATTTTCATTGACTATAATATTTTCATTGACTATTATAATCCATAAAAATCCTGCTCTTAAAAATAATAGACAGTTTCGCTAGATTAATCGAAACGTATAGTATGTTTTGAAAATGTTTGTTTTCCTAAATTCTTAAAAAAAAAAGGGAATGATTTATAATAGAGAAAAATAGAGAATAATAGAGAAAAACTCTTTATGTTCGCGAATGTGCTAGGATAAGCATTCCGATCGTGGACAGACTGTAATAATGGAATTTCGCGAACAATCAATCGGAAAGCAATTAACGGAGGCGATCGGCGAACTTCCCACCAAATTTCCTGTCGCGTTCATTCGTGAGAAAAACATCTATTGGGTAAACGGAACCGCGTAATTTTGTTGCAACAGTTGCATCGAGTGCAATGTAGGTTCGATGGAGATTCTGTAGATTCGATGGAGGCGCCACTTACATTTTACTTAAGTACGTGATGTAAGTAAAATGTACGAATGTAACTAAAAGCATGAATTATTTTAATATCTCACTGATTTCACATTCTTTAAAATATAATTCTTTAAAAAATAATGTATTACTAAACATAAATAATAATTAAGGAGCATACAGCCACAACGCAAGACTGTGACTGTATGCTTCTTATTATTTATATTTTGTATTATTAAATCACCTCTAAAAGTTTTTAAAAATATTATTTCTCTATTTAAAACAAAAATGCGCAAAAATATAATATGAAAGATAACAAGAAATGTTAACTACGAGATTAACTACATTTTTTTCGTGTCTTGCAGAGAAATTAGAAAAAAATAAACAACCCTCGTAACTTGTTAAAATAAAAAATGACCGTTACTTATAGGTAATTTATTTTGCGTGAATGTTACGCATCGTTTATATCATATTTATATAGATAACGCTCGGTTCGAAATACTTTTGCTATGACACAAAAACCTTTACGTAAGATTAAACTAACGATAAATCATAACTGTCCCCAAAATTCTTTATGATTTATGGATAATTTTACCGTATTTTTCTTTCACAATGCCTTCTCTCCGTATTTCATAAGCCCGACACAAAATATATTTCGCGCAATTCCACGCGAAATGAGATATTACCTTTAATACGAGCACTGTAAACAGTTTGAACTTGAGATTGTCGAGATAAATTTGCAACCAGTGCACAAGCTTTTCACCTCGTAATTTTTCGATGGCGCGATAAATAAATTTTACACGTAATATTATTTCTATAAATAATTTAAAATATCAACAAAAAATTATGACACATTTATTTAGCTTTTATATTTTTTAATGATTAAATAATTAAAAATTTTTTTTTCACCTTGTATGTACATATAAGAATGATTTGGTTTGAAATTTTTGTTCGACTTGAAAACATATTCTTATTTTCTAGTGACATTCATATTGAATTATGATGTGAAAAAAATTATATAAAATTCTTTTTACATCATATGATAAAGTAAATTAGTTTTTTCATATACTTACACTAAAAAAAAATTACGAAATTTGAATAAATAGTTTGTTTAGCTAATACTAATGAATCATTTACTTACAGTAAAAAAATATTTGTTCAATTAAAAAAATTATACTTAATTTAAATATTATTTTTTTAAATCGAATAAATATTTATTTTCTGTGAGCAAATGGTCCCATTAGTACTATCTAAACAAATATTTATTTAAATTTCGTAAATTTTTTTCAGTGTATCATCATGTATAGAAAGGAATGAGGAAATTACGAAAACGGGATAAACACGGTCTATATATTGCTGTAGTATGAGTAGTGAGTAAGCTCTCATTTCTTGCATCCAGTGATAATCCGATATACATTTAGTGGCATTATACACGTGACCATAGAACACGCCGTTTAAGGTAAATGCTATTACATGTTTTAGGTGATTTTGATTAAGAGAAAGAGAGAGAGAGAGAGAGAGAGAGAGAGAGAGAATGGAGGAAATGCGAATAGCTAAGGAAAAAATAAGGACATATAGTCAATAATTATTTAATTATAAAAGTTTTTATTCAAACAATATTAGCTTTAAGCTACAATAATTAATATTAATATATTATTAATATAAATTATAATTTAAACAAAAAATAAAATTGATTTGACATCCGCGTGGCGGCAGGTAATTCCAAACGTAAGTTTTATTTTTTTAAATTATGTATAGTTTATGTTGTTTATATTGTTTTTTTTTAATTATAAATTATATTGATGGCATATGAATATTAATAACTGTAATTTAGAACTAAATAATTATTAATAAGAGTATTTTTTGAATAAAGATCTATTAATTAATAAATAATCATCATTATTTAATTTTTTCTTTAAGTGTTTACAATTCCCCCATTCATCCCTATGTCCGATAGAACAGAATATAAATTAAAAAATATATTGAAAATTTTTTTTTCGATTCACGAATTAATGAACAGCTAAAAACTTTGATTGATTGTTATAAAAACTAAAGTGGAAATGTTGGACATATACAAACTAAATTGTTCTGTATTTATTAACTCGAGAATAACAGGGTGTTTTTATATCCCAGCCGGAAGAAGATATAAATTGATCTAAAATGAATATTGTTTTCGTTCTTTTTCAATAACTATTCTTTATGAACCTTTAAATATGCAATTTTATTCGAAAACCCGTAATAAAAAAGTGTTATATTAATATATATTAATTAATCTTCATTATTTTTAAAAATACCATTAATAAACTACTTAATGCGCTCATTTCGTTTAATATTTGTTTGATCTCTATTTTTTTTCAAAAAATTGTAAATAAATCCACATCCATAATATTTCCAAATGCCAATAAATAAAAAAATAATCAATATATAATATATTAATGCTATTGAGACTTCCACGGCTACTTTATACAGAGAAGCTAAGCATTTTGCAAGCTATCTTAGTGTTCAGATCCATTATTAGAATGTCAACATTTCGTGAATATAGCAGTTTACTTTCTACTGTATTAGGCTGCTCCTCTTGATGAAGTAAACTGCAATGTTCGCGTAATATTGGCATTCTAATAATGGATCTAAACGAGATAATCCGCGAAACGCGTAACTTCTATATACAACACGTTGTTAATAATAGTGATTTTAATCGAGGTGTATAAAAGACATCCTAAAGATATCCTTTGCTGTAAAGCTTTTGAGTTGATGTTCCATACAGTCAGACAGAGATAATTGCAAACTAAAAACCTATAAAAACTGTCGAAACATATTTCTGAAACTTTCAAACTTTTGATGGATTTCCAACCTAGTGAAACTGCAATGGTGTTATCAAAAAAAAATATTACCAACAGTTCAGAGATAATAACAATTCGCGCTTGAAGGATACTCCTGGAACAAAGCTCTCTGGGAATCAAGTGAGGGATTCAACAGCAGCGACAGACGGGAGCGTCGCTTTGGAAACAATACGGGCGTCGCATCAAAAAGTTTTGCCGGCGCGGTGCAACGCAAAATTTTATTAGGGAAATCAAAGATGTCGCCCGTCATGAATGCGAATTGCAAAGCCGGGCTAAAGATCGAATCGAGCCACACTCACCAGCACAGCTGTATCCATTTTTATGAAGTATGTAGCCGTCCCTGCAGTCGCACTCGTACATGCCATCGTGGAGTTCGTAACAGAGCTGCTCGCAGGGCGATCCGTGCCCGCATCTTCCTGAAACACGATAGGGAAACGGGGACGTGAGTAAGTTATGCGTACCGAGGGAATTCGAGATGGCGCGAAGTGGCGAACAAAGGGAGAAACATCGGAACAGACGGCGGCGATGAGTTGCAAACGCAACTGTTCGCGCATTCTCCGTTCCCATCCCTAATAGCGTACTTACACAACGCTATCTTTGGACGTACTCCGTAAAATCGATTCATATAAAAATCATAGCGTAGACGTAGTCTTATGTATACCTGCACTTTCGTTTTCAGCGCTACTCACCGATTTTTTAGTACATACTTTATTAGTTTATACTTTCAGTTTTTTTACTGAATCTGTAAGGCCTCTATTCTGTAAAACCTGTTCTAGGGTCGCAAACCGTAAACTGTAAGAAATTATCCAATCAATAGTTAAATATGTTCGACTATAAAAAATAATCGAATATGATTGGTTAATTTCTTACTGCTTACAGCTTGCGATCCTATTATAGAATAGGCTTAACTCTTAACGCCAGTAATGATATCGTTATACATTGTTGTTGCGCAGATTTTATACATGATAAAAAAAGACTTCGCAACAATACATTGACATTATCGAGCATGGAATGGAAAGTTACTTTTTAAAAGAGTAATTATAATTCCTATGTTACTCGTTAACGAGTCAAAAAGCAAATCGTTACCGTTACTGATTCTCAAAACTCATTACGTACCGTTATCGTTACTTTTACGCGCACGCGCGTTACCTTTTTAATATTAAAACAAGATCAGCCAAAAAATTTTGCAATATCTTTTTGTTTAAATATTAATAAAAGCAATAAACAATAATGACACTAAATTAATATGTAAAAACACAACTAAAAAGAAAAATGTTTTTTCGGTTCGAACTTTGTATATAATAATATTTCAAAGTGAATTTATATACATTTTACAAATCACCGATTAAATTTTCGATCTAGGAACAATTCGAGAGGATATTTTTTATAATAAATTTTATAGCACATTATACATGGCATCATTTCCGTTAAACTTAAAGACTGTTATTTATAAAATTTGTTTTTATGTTAATACAACTCTGTGATTGGTTTATGGCATTCTTAAAACATCATAAACCAATCATAGAGTCATATTATAATAGCATCTTAAAACGGTTTTGAAGGAAAAATCATGAATATCGACCAGAGGGCAGAGATTGAGATAGAATACACAAAAAAATGATGTCATAAATAAGTTCAAATTATAAAAAGTAACTGTAAAATTCATTATTGTTACAAAAAAAAGATAATACCCTTATTAATCGGTTATAAAAAAAAATAATTTATAACGATAAACAACGTTACACGTAACGCATTACTTCTATTCGTTAGTTAAGAGTTACAGAATAAGGACCTAACAATATAATGTGCTTTCTACAATAAGCTATTACCCAAGTTTTAAATCTTAAGCTATTAAGTCTTAAGAAATTGATCAATCATAGTTGATTGGTCAATTTTTTATGGCTTAAGACCTAAAGCTTAGATAATGGCTTATTGTAGAAAGCCCATAACTGTAGAAACCAATCATAATAAAGAATCATTGAGCGTCCACTGAGCTGCTTTGTCTGTTGAACGCATTACTCAAATATACTCATATATACATTCTATTTTCTATTGTCATCAAGAAATCAATATTATCAAGAAATAAATATTAAGTTATTTCATATTGTTTATTTCATTTTGAGACTCGTCAGGTTAGTACGGTCCATCCTGTATAATAATTATTTACCTTTTGCTTTTTGATAAACGGTTTTTTATAAATTGTGAGGCAAATTTCCGTAAGTTATTGCCCTGAGTAACATTTTAGTCGCTGTGTTTCATATAGATATATTTTTTTATCGACATATCACAATAATACCGAGGCGTAAAGAGAAGTTGTATGAAATTTACGATGAGAAAAAGATATTATATTGCACAGGCAACTAAATGTCATCAAGCCAACTGCAGCATAAAACTGTTTCCTCCGTTGCGATTTTATTTTGTTATTTAATCTAACGTCACAACAACAAATTTACAAAAAATAAAGTTAAATCGTGAAAGGCGTACAAAACTCAGGTTAACAGCATAATAATTAATTTTTCATTCTGCTGTAAAACATTAAACCTTGTATATGACGAAAGAATTTTTTTTTTAATAATGATGATGAATATATAAACATAATGTACAATATAATTGAAATATCGACGGTAATAACAAATTTAACTTATTTAGTGTAATTGTGTGTTGCAAAATCTAGTATTTTAGCAATATTTTTATATAATTGTTTCTCTCTTTTTTTTTCTCATTTTATTCATATTTAATATATTCATAAATATATGAGCAGTTATTAAACTACATTTATTTAGCAAGTCATATGTAAAACAATTCAGTAATTAACATTCGTTCAGTGCAACCGCCCAATACGATTAAAAATTTCAGTGCTGACGTTTTATGTCATGTAACTGTCGTTGCAACGTTAAAATTTATTGCAAACGTTTTACAACTAGCAATAAATTAATCAGTTTCAGTGTTGCAATGCATGCTGCAATGCATCCTTTTTATACACAAACCAAAAACTACACATAATACAATGCGATAATATCGAAAAAATAAGATAAGAAAAAATGTATATCGTATGCATGTTATATTAAAAATATACACGATTCATAAACTTATCTAAGTGACAACTATTTAATAAAAAACAGATATTTCATTTGATCTATTTAGCAACAAAAATCAGTTTATTTATAAATTGAAATAACAGAATATGAAAATTGTAAGTTAATTATTTCATTCTGACATTTATGATTTATTTCTTTAACAGTTATATAATTATTTTTTTTACTTAATTATTTTAAATATTGTCTAGTGAAAATATTCGTATTTTACAAATCAATAAAGGATATGTTACTGTGTCGTATTACCAATTCCGCTGCTGCGCATCGTATCAGTACGTGTTAAATTATTTCACCATAAAATATACGAATTTCGGAATTTTGTATTTTAATTTGAAGTAATGGATCCGTAAGAATTATACCATACATACAACAAATTTCAGTAGTTAAAAACTCAAATTAATGAAATTATAAATAAATATAACGTTTCACAGATCCAATAAGAACATATTTTAGCAGATTGAATAGTGTACGTGATATCTGCATATAAGGAATTAAAAGATAAAATTAATTGTTAGATGTTTTTTATTTGAACTGTACGAATCAATAACTACGATAGCATTGATCAATTTTAATCGTCTTATAGTTGAAAAACTTGCCTTCGACATTATTAATCAAAATGTTTTATTTGAATAATCTTCGAAATAAGATCTTCGAAATATTGAATACGGTAATTATGAAACATCTTTTTTTAACCTTTTTTAGCTTTTTTTAGTCCCTTGAACGATTCTGTTTGAGGTTACCTCCTTTTATTTTATAAATTGCGCATTCAATTTTTATAAAACTTGATTATTGGGTAATTAATAATGCTTTATTCAAATCTGAGATCAAAAATAAAAAATTCAAAATGATAGATTCAATATGGCAGAATTATTTTTAAATCATTTGATTGCTATAATTCGGTTTTAGAAAGTTTTTAATTGCAAAATAACATTAAGATTTCCTTTATTTGAAATTTATCAGTGATATGCAAACGATTGGCACTGATTTTTAAATTGACTTTCAAATTCTGATTATGAACCCTATTAAACTAGATATTCCTTCATAGAAGTTACTATCCTTTTGAAATTCGATATTTTCAGACAAAATTCAAACTCAGAAATACCAAGAAAATTAAATTTGAGTTTCACGATAATCATATTATTTTTCTTTAATTTAAATTTTGAAATTCTAAAATCAAAATTAAATTCAGCAATCCCCCGAAAACTTTTAAGAAGCAAGATCTTCTATAAGTTACTATTTTGTTAAAAAGATTTGATCTTCAAAGGGTTATTTGTTTTATTATTACTTATAAAATAATATCTTTAATAATTGTAAATAAATTATATGTACAAAAGAATAATACGATGGATAATAATAATAAGAATAACAAAACAATTATAGCAATTCACTTTAATGTTTAAAACTAATAATTTAATTTGTTAAAAAAATAACAATCATGATCATATTCACGTGCGCGTATAATATTTAAAAGTAATTACTAAATCGTAATATGCAATTGTGAAAAGAACTGCAGATGAACGATTTAGCAACGATTTAGTTTTACGTCAATATTACATATTCGTAATAATGATATATTTCTCGATGTTTCCATAGAATAGCGACATATTGCGAAATGTTTTAACATAAAGTGCGATTGGATGGGAACAGAGCTGGAGCAATAAAAATTCAATAAAAAAGTGCATTACTTTGAATGCAGTAAAATTTTAGAACAATTTTATTTCAACCGAGCTCATCTTTTGGGCCGGCATTACGAATGAAAATAAAGCGCATTCAATTTGTATGCGGACTTTTCAATTTGCACATATGCATACTTAATGCGTATATTTCACACTTAATTTTAGTTTAACGAAAGTGCTTACTAAGTGGACCTCATATAAAGCCAGCCGACCGCACAACGATACATACAATTAAAATATTTCTATGTTATCGTTCCATTTATGAAAACTTTTTAATCAACCAGGTTATATTTCTAATTTTTAATTTTAATGAATATATTTCAAGTTTTTTTCAGCCAACATGTTTTTGCCATTTTTGCCATTTAATAAATAGAAAGTTATGTGCTTTAAGTGAGTACAACCATATAAATTTTTATTTCCGATATATTTTTTTCTGTAAAATGATTAACAAATCAGAGTTACTATTAATCCACGCATGAAATTTAATACAAATACAATCTAATAATCAATAGGCAATAGCGACTCTTTTACACAGAGTGATTTGCTTCTCCTATGTCAAATATTTTCTTCTTAATATTAAATATTAAATCGTGCATAAACTTTTCATATACTTTAAAGCATTATAAAACGAGTAGAGTAAATATT